AAGGCCATTAAATAAGCGTAGCATTAAAAAGATGTTTAAAAGCACCCTTCACTGAAGGCTGAATCTAAACGATTTACTGTTGACACGTCAGAGTATACTAATTAAAATATTCAGAGGTGCCAAATGAAATGACTTATATCTGTACTGACAAAAATTCATAAATTAATACTATATTCATAAATGCTTATGACTTATTCCAGTCAATTAAAACAATTAAAATAATGTTGTTCTAATTCAGCATATATTTTCTTACTTAAAAGTGATAAATGTGAACTAAGTTAAAGAGAGAAGACTAGATTAAGGAATTTACACATCAACTTCACCAAAATTCAATAATTCTTTAATTGACTTCTTATTCAATAAAATAAGCACTATGTGCACAAATGATTTTGATAACTCAGTAAAAAACTCTGTGTTAACATTATGAAGCATTAAGGCACTCTTTTTTACTAGCCCACTTGAGAGTATCTCGTTTCCGCTGTTATCAGACTGTACAGCATGTAAAATTAAGATCATAAATTGGAAAGGCATTCGTTTTGTCCACTGTTACCTCCAATCCTACAATGCGGATTGAATAATCCAGAAGATTAGGATGTGGTAACACTAAGAGGACGACTTTTTGTTATTTTTCGGAGCTAATTGCTGGGTTATTAAATGTTTAATAGGGTTATAAAATTGCAGACAGAAAAAATCTTCACAGTGCATGAAGCAAAGGTGAATAACCCAAGTGATTAAGTAATTAGAACAGAGTTTTCGAATAGATACAATGTTTTATATTGCTACGGGCCTAAGCCAAGTGATTTAAACCTTGAAGTTGAATGCGGTCATCAATAACACTCTCTGGACAAACGTTATACCAAAATTAATTAAAATCCAAAATTTAAAGTTGATAGAAGAATGCTTATGAAGAGTTATCTACAAGCAGGAAAAAAATATTTCAATAAAACATTTAAGAAATAAGATTGAAAACGTCGTGCAATTGGGTGAGGGAAGGTAGCCTGAGAACACTGAACATTTAAATGGAAGTGGACTGCAAGTGGCAAGTGACAATATCAACCACCACACCAAGGATCATATATAGATATAAAACCACATCAAAAATTGGTCGGGATTTTCATTAATAATGTGAATATGTTATTCTAATTAATTCATTAATCAATTTTCCCACAGAAGTTAATTTGACATGAGCTCAAATATGACTTGGTTCTTTTTCAAATATTTCGATGCAATTTTTTAATTGATTTAAGTATTATATGAACAATTCTTTTTAATGACAAAACAATATTCTCTGAATTTTTACGTATTACAGGTAACTGGCCTTTATTGTAATGAAATTACTATTAAATTTAAATAACAGCAATTACACACTAAATTCTACTTCAATGGCAAAATTTGCGTATAAAAAAATATAATTTTAAAGATAAACCTGCGATAACGAATTGTCTGTGTAAATATAGGTCAATCATTTATGCATTCCAGCTTAACCCATCTTATCAGATTTGCTATTTTTTATTTTCTAATTATTTAAAAATGTGGACTTTTATAAAATTAAGAACAAATAAGTGAATTGAATATTTTGTAGCAATTGAAAAGTTAATATTAAGAAAGCATCTATCATAAAATGATAACACAATTTCAATGAAGAAAAACTGAATGAATTAAAATGGCAATTTTAAAAAATGAAGATGCGTAATTTGTAAGTTTGAATATCTTCAAGATTAGGGGAAAATAACTGAAAAATAAGTCAGTTAGGTAGCCCACTGACAGGCAAAATCAAGCGTAAAATATCTTTTGCCTTGATTTGTAATTTAGAAACAAAAAATTAAAAAGAAAGGAAAAAACATTTTTCACTATTAAATAATGATTTTCCAGAAGTGCACTCCTCATTTCATTTAATGGAATAAGCTGAAATCACAATCAAGGCCAATAATGATGTTTAAAAAAAATATATCACAAAGTAAATCAAATCTTCTCGAAATAGAACTACTTCACTTGTTGTGTTCCTAATGCGGTGGAAAACTTAGCAAAGATGTCTCAGAATTAGGACACAAAATAGGCAGATTTTACCAGTAGCATTTTAGTAATTCGCTCCCACCCAAAGGGATCAAAGCATGCCAAGAAAAATTAGCATTAAATAATTAGCTTTCAATGCTTCAATTGGATGCTTTTACTTATTAAAAGGAATATTTATTGTTAAGCCATGAACGATTATTAGAACTAATCGAATTATTGACAAAGTCAGGAACTCTGAAATAAGAAAACAATGATAAGAGGACATTTGATCTTCACATATTATGAGTGAATTAAAGCAGAACCTAAATACAGCTATAATCTCTTATTCACCTTTTCCTATTTCATTACCCACACTGACAAAATGTAGACTTTTGGTTAAAATTGCATTCTAAATTGCCATGCAAAAATAGATGTAAAACTGAAATATTATAGGGATCTATTCGAATTATAGCGGTTATTTTAAACTATAGCACGTTTAAGTGGCAATCATTTCTGAAATTATGTAGCAGTATATGGGTGTCAAAAAAATTTTTAATGAAAACGCTTTCTTAAAGTGATATGAGGCAATGAATTGTATTTGGGAATAAATTTTAAAAAAATAATAAGCAGGTGTTTAATTTTATAACTTTTATAAGAATATTTACTTACCTCCTCGATCCATCTTCTGAAAAATTATTTGCACATTAAATAGATTAAAAAACTAAAATGCTTGAAGTTTAAACAATTGCAAAGAAGATACATCCCAAATGTGATGTTATTTGAAATTTCCAATAACTATCCACAGCGTTAAACCTTGACTAACCAAACACAGTGAAAACTTGTTTCTCTGATCACACAATTCAATATGCCATCAACAATTCGAAATATAAGTAGGATTGCTTGAAAAATATGGAAGAAAAGAGTATCAAAGATACAAAAGCTGAGAAGGTGAAAGGAACAGAGATTCGAAGGTGTAAGAGAGGCAGATGAAATCGTAGAAAAAAAGGCAAGATTAGATGAGTACTGAAAATGATGGAATATGATATTCAATGGGGTCATTGTAGTTTTAAGTTAACTTCCGATTTATGGACATTTTGACGTATGAGTATATGTTACCAACTTTGCATCACATGGAGGTAGGTCTTTCGCGCACCCCAGAATGTGCAACTAAATTCTACATAGCGAAAAATGTTTTCATTCAAACAGACCCCTTGATAAATTGTCACGAACAAATTCCAGAATAACTAGTAACAAAGCAGGTTAGTTTTAATTAGATCAGAAATCTATACCGAAAAGGTTAGTTTATCATTTTCAGCAATAAAACTTTTATTTTTGACATTTTTGTAGGAATTTTCATGCTACTAGACAATTGCATATCTGAAAGCAAACTTTTAATCCAGTAGAACTGTTGGAATTTAATTGTGGCCAATAGACGGCCCAGGACATATTTTGCACATATTTTGTCAAAGATAAAATTAACGGCTGTTACAATAAATCTTATTTACAAAAGTGTCATTACTAGAAAGATACAATAACAAGAGTAAACAGACACTGCTTGAAGTCGGAAACTTTTACTATAATTTAATTAAAAGTAATTGTTTTCTCAAAATTCCCGATCACCACTACGTATCAAAACGAAGTAGACTCAATAAAACATTGATGGCAAATGCAAATGTTATTTTTAGGTAAACGGCATATATATATATATATTCAAAAGTCAAATTCAAATAATTTTAAATATTTACTAGTAAGCTTAAGCACAGTTAACTTAAAATGATGTTTACTTAATCAAATTCACTGAAATCGGCTGAATTTTAAAGTTCATTCGAGCAATTCGGCCACTTTTATATTTTAATCAAGCAATTTTTAGTTCTTGAAGTGATATTAAAAGCAATTATAAAAAAAATTACTGTTAAATATATTTTTAACTGGATTGCTAAACCCAAATATTTTATTTATTTCAAATGGCAGGCGTTTTGATAGCTATCATTAACCATTTAGCTGACTTCGGGCTTCACAGAGGAAGAGCAATCAAAGTAGCAGAAAGTCGAGAGGCGGGAACAGAAGAGCGATTCACAGATGTAAAAGAGGCAGACAGACACAAAGGTAGGGAAATAGGTAAGATGAGTACTGTGAAAGGGGTCGAATATGACAAGCAGTCGGGCCATGGTATTTTGAAGTCACTAGTCAAATGCCGGTTAATAGACTTTTTGCCGTATGAGTATACGTTGGCCAGGGTGCACCACGTGGAGGTAAGTCTATCGCACACCCCTTAATAGGAAAGTATACCTCTCTATGAATGAACACAGATTACCAAATTGGGGACAGAGGTTTATTTCAGCTGTCACCCTGATAAATTCAAACTGTTGGATATTGTGAAGGACAAGCCTAACCCCTTAACTATCCTTATGGACTTTGCAGCCAAGAATTTGTTCCAATCCGGGATTGGAATTTGGGGCGAGGGAATGGATTAACCTTCCCTTTGAGCTATTTCATCTTATTAACTATTAACTCATTTCATTTTCTTCCCAAGACTATAAATTGGATAGCCAAACATGTAAAGCTCGCCTAAATACGTGAATTCGCATGTGTTGTTCTTTGGCATTCCTCTTAACAAAGTTTTTTTTCTATTCGAATTAAGGTGTGTTTGAAACGGATAAAACCAAACTCAAAGTTACTATTTTTTCAACCTAACTTAGAACTCCTTTTGCTACAAATACATTTAATGGCGTTCGTGTAGTCTTTTGTTTTTTTTCTATTTATTCTTAAATGCAACTGATATTAATAAACCAATAGTTAGCTCGGCTCCAATTAACTGTGTTGGTACCAAGGTACATTTTATTCTTGCCTCCAGGTCAAGTTAACTTTTCATTATAACCTTCGCAATTGGATAAAGCCATTTACTGATTAGCCAATGAGGAGACTCGCTTGAAAGTAATTGAAAATCGAGCTTTTGATACATTACAAAAATTCATTTCATTAAAATTTATTCACCTCCAACGTAAAGAATGAGCAATACTCCAAAACAGTCAGAACTGAAATCTCCCTCAAACGAGGATGGTGGAGGAGGTAATTCCGGAAATGTCTTCGGTTTTCCACATAAAGTAGACCTTGATCACGTTCTCAAGCACCATGCTGGAAACATCGGTTTTGTTCAAATTATAATGGTCATTATGAGTGCTCTCACTCTACCTCCTGGCATCATATTTCCCGTCTTTGGGAATACAGAACTTCCACACCGATGTCGTCTGGAACCTGAGGTAGAAAAGGAACTTGCTAGGAGGTTTAGTAGATCTTCTGAAGACACTTTCAATTCAATTGCCACTTTAGTCGGTCCTTGGCCTAGTTCAAATTCATCTTCCTTTGTTAATTGGCACGGATTTGGTTGCAAACGTTATTTAGTCCCACTTATGTCTGTAACCCAGAATACAACCCGTCTACTAACAATCCCTTGCAATAACGGCTATGTTTACAAATACTCCTCCGATCAATACCCAGGTGGAATTATCAATGAGTGGGACCTAGTGTGTGATAGAGCCTGGATGGGTCCATTCAGTACAGCCATGTATATGGTCGGAATGCTGGTGGGTTTTATTTCAGGAGGAATGGCTGGAGATTACTTTGGTAGAAGGCAGGCAGCTCTGGTTGCATGTCTGTTTGAGGCAGTCTCAATCATAACCGTGTCCTTGTCAGCAAACTTCTGGCTCTATACCACCTTCCGATTTGTTTTAGCCTCTGCAAGTTCCGTTAAGATAACTGTTCTCCTTGTCTTGTGCATGGAAGTGACTACTCCACGTCCAAGATCAATTATTAATGGAATTTGGGCATTTATTCAATATTTTCTTCTAAGAGTCTTTCTTTCTCCATTAGCATATTGGTTTCCAAGGTGGCAGTGGCTTCACGGAGCGGCTTGTATGCTGTCCTTCTTAAGTTTCCCTTCAATTTATATGTTTCCTGAATCGCCGGGGTGGCTGCTTTCCCAACATCGACAACTCGATGCTCTCCATGAAATCTACAAAATTTACCTCGCAAATCGGAAATTGAAATGGAATAATAATGAGGAACCAGCGTTGACAGAAGATGCGTTCATTAACTTAATACGTCAAGAGTGCGCTGTCATTAAGCCTGCCTCTCCTAGTGCTCAAGAAGGCATCCCATCAAAGTCTGAGTTCCAAAACACCCGTAAACCTTCCAAAAATGGTAATATAATTACTCTCACCCTTCAGTGCGTCCTACTTTTCGCCGGTCAGCTGGCGACTACCTACGGTTTACTGTTTTATGGAAACGCACTACAAGCTAATATCTACCTGGTGAATTTTCTTAATTCCACAACCCAAGTTCCAGCAACCGTTATCTTCGTGCTCTTGCATCACTATTGTAGGAAACGAAAAATTCCAATTGTCATCATGTATGTGGGCTCAATGATTGGTCTGTCTATCGCAGCAATTTACAATTTGGTAGTGAGACCAAAAAGTGATTTCGTTCTCAATATTTGCATCAACCTGTCTTTGATCTTCCTCAATTCTGCTATGAATATGGTTTACATGTACGTTCTAGAGCTGTTCCCTTCGGAAGCTCGCAGTTTGGGTCTTGGAGTAGCGTCTGGTTTCGGCCGACTTGGTGGAGTTTTGTGTCCAATTATTAATACACTGCAAAGCAAAAACTTTCATGAATCTCCAATTTTCATTTATATTGGCATTCACATACTCTTATTGGTGAATTCAGTTTGTCTTCCAGATACGTGTGGTCGTAGCCTACATCACAGTTTCGACCTCAATAGGGCGGAAGAACTTGGAATGAGACGGGAAACTGAAGTGAGTGATGATTCGACGATACAAGGTGACGAAGAGGAGAAAGACGGAGACACCCCTAACTGGACTTCAAAATTAGACGATACGATCGCTTCCACCCATGTGATTCAATCCACTTCCCATATAAATGATGATTTTTGATGATGACGATGATGTAATGTTGCTGGAGGTTTTATTTGTGTGGCACGCATTTTAATTAGTATTTTTTCTAATGAAATTGAAATCATATTCTTCAGAAAACGCCATGCCATGAATGCTAAAACCAAAGTGTTAATGAGGCATGAGGGAAATAGCTAAGGAATATCTTACGCAAGGTGATCAAAATTTGTTCTTCGAGTGTTTTTTCGTTTAAAAATTATTTCTAAAATTAAGAGGAAGTCGGATATTGGACCATATATTGATGCTGCGATTACGCAGCAGATGTTTTAGTTATGTGGAGTTGTTAGTTACGTTTGAATGCAATTTAATTTAAAGCAGATCGATAATAGTGATAAATCGATCAGCAACTCAAGAAAAGGGGTTTGAATCCTATGAGAATTGGAAATTAAGCTAATAATCAAACCTGGTGAATTAAAAGGCCACATGTACACTCAATTCCCCTATTAAGCGTCATAAGGAATTAGGATACTATCGACTAGGGGTATTTGAATTTGCGAAATTCTTTACTAGAGAAACTAAAATGAATAGTATTGAGATAAATTGAGAAATTCGGAAAGGTCTGAGGTTAATAGGTAATAATCAGAGGTTAGTAAGTGAAGTCGCCTCTCACAAGATGTCTACTTAGTGGAGTGCTTCAACAATCGGTGTTCACAGAAGTGATGGGGTTAAAACTAACGCAACTAAGTACCTAAGTATTTCCTTCCCAGCACATCGAGGAAATACTTTGCATTGATGGTCTGCTAAAGACGTACTTCAAATGTGAATGGACAAGTATCAAGCACATAGTGTGTAGCATTCATACTGGAACGTCCACAGAATAATCAAAACTTGCTATAATTGGGGGAATTCTGGAAGCCTTGGAATTACTTTGTTGAACAGCACTTGACTTTGTTTGATTTAAGAGAGGCCTTCGATAAATTGATCATTACTACGATTGTTATTAACGACAACCTGAAACATTGTCAGCAGCTTTGAATGAGCATTTTTATGAGGAGGGGCGTCAAACAAGAATTCGAAGAGGATTCCATGCACTCAAACTTATATCAGCGGAAATTTATAAAAACTCTGAGGATGTGAGAGTCAAACTTCTGAGCTCTGCAAGATGGTCACATAGGAATCACGTCCACTCGTGGTGCAGAGATCTCTCAGTCAGCCAGCAATCAATAGTCGCTACATTGTTTATGTAGGCCAAAATTCAGTTCAACGGCTCAACTATGTGTCAGTGGCCAATAAGCTGGAGAAAGCGTTATTCAAATATGACATGCAATGGGGTCATGGTAGTTTGAAGTCAGAAGTCAACTGCCGGTTTGTTGAATTTTTATGCTGTAT